TAAAAATTGCACAGTGATGATAGTGCCTAGGTTTTTTATCCATAACTTTAATTGCTTGTTTGTACAAGATTTCCAATGGTTTTTTTGAGCTCAGACAAGCCTGGGACCAGCTGGTCAGGCAGTAGTTCAAGTGGCTGAAAATCATTGAATGCAAATACATTTGCGCGGCTTCAGCTGACATTTCATTTCGAATTGCACGAAAATTTGCAAGATTAAACTTGATTATTTTATGTAATTTACCAATATGGGCTTTAAAGGAAAGATCTGAATCTATTATTATCCCAAGATATTTATATTGGCTGACAATTTGTATTTTTTCTCCATTAACATGTATGTCAGGATCAGATGATACTCTATTTGTTTTAGTGAAATACATGCCGACAGTTTTAGAAACGTTTAGCTGCAGACAGTTCTCCTGCAGCCAAGTTGTAACGCAGGACATTGTTTTAATAAGTTTAGCAGCAACAGTGTCTTTGGTGATGAACAAAGAAGACAGTGTCGTCTGCATACATCAAGCATTCAGCTTCAGAACAAGCAGTGGGCAAATCATTAATATAAAGACTAAAGAAAAGGGGGCCTAATATTGACCCCTGAGGGACTCCAGTGGTTAGCATACGAGAGTCAGATCTGCAGTTGTTTACTGATACAGATTCTGTTCGATCATGCAGATATGAATCAATCCAGCTCACAGTGTTTCGAGAAAAGTTAAATTTTGAGAGCTTGGTAAGGAGAACAGAGCGATTTACTGTATCGAATGCTTTCCTGAGGTCCAAAAACACAGCCCCTACAACTCCACCCTTATCGAGAAAGAATTTTATTTTCTCAATAAAGAGGCATGTAGCCGTTTCAGTGGAATGCTTGGATCTGAAACCAAACTGCATGGCATGGAGAGAGGGGGAGCTGCTGTTTAAGTGATGGACAATCTGCTGTGCCACCCATTTTTCTGCGATTTTGGAAATGGACGGAAGAATGCTTATTGGGCGGTAGTTGTGCAGAGAAGTTGTGTCACCGGATTTAAATACAGGGGATACAATTGCAGATTTCCAGGCCTTTGGAAAGCGACCCAGTAAAATTGAAAGATTAATGACTGAGGCAATAGGAGTGGCAAGAGCTGAACCCAGGTCTTTGAGCATGTTTGAGTCCATTCCAAAAACATCTTTTGCTTTAGATGATTTGAGTGATCGAATTAAGTCAATAACCTTAGTCTCAGTAATATTTGTAATAGTAAAAGACTTTGTTGCAGTAGTTGTTGAAAGCATCAACCATCACTTGAGGTTCTGTCAAGATATTTCCATTTAATTGAATTTGCATTAGTTTCGTTTTGTGTTTTTTTTGGGAACCACCCAATAGTTTTTTAATATAATTCCAGGTTATTTTAGAATTCCCCCTCGCACTATTCAAGGCAGTAATGAAAAAGTCAGCTTTAGATTTTCTTATTTCTTTCACTACCCTATTTCTCAACGAAATAAATTGGTGTCTGTTGTGTCCTGATTTGATTAACAACTTCAAAAAGTGATCTCGTTCTTTCATGAGTTTCAGAATAGATTTATTTAGCCAGGGAAGGCCATTCTTTCTAGCTTTTTGTTTAATTATCCGTGTAAATTGTAGAATAATTTGTTGTATTTTCTTGGCCATATTAGAACAATCCATGTCTAAATTTTTGCCACTGAGCAATTCATCCCAGTTTACTTCTTTGATTGAATCTTGGAAGTTTTGTTGTTCCTGTTTTGGTATCCTATAGACTTCAGTGGCAGCCAAGGGTTTGAAGTGCTTTTTATTTAGTTTTCTTGTGACCATTATAAGATTATGATCAGATGTACCTGTGAGCATATTATATGACTTCAAGATCCTTTCTGGTCTATTAGTAAAAGTTAGATCAATCTGGGTGCTAGTGGAGTTTGTAATTCTTGTAGGGCCATTAATTACCTGAGTCATATCCACATCATCCATAACCTTTTTCAATTTTTTCCTAACTTTTTTTACTTCCCAATTAACATTTAAGTCACCCATTACTATCACCTCTTTTGCAAGATTGAATTGTTTCAATAAATTTTCCAGCTTTTCAAAATAATCCACATTTGAAGAAGGAGGCCTATAAATAACTACAAGAATAAAAGACATTTGCTGTGACAAGGAAACAGTTAGTCCAACAAATTCTAATCCACTCTCATCTGTGACATGTACCTCATTACAATTAAAGGTGTCCTTGGCATAAATCATAACACCTCCTCCTTTAGAACCCTGTCTGTATTTTCTGAAAATGTTGTAACCAGGTACAGAAAGCATTGCTGAAGGTGAAGATTCGCAAAGCCATGTCTCAGATACGCAAAGGAAGTCAATATTAGAGTCAGTGAGAAGGTGATGGACCTGATCACTTTTTGTTAGAATACTTTGTATATTTAAGTGTGCACAAATAATGCCTTTTGGTTTATGTATTGAACCCCATATTAGTTTAGAGTTATTAATGGTTTGAAACATCATGAATTTACTGTGTTTTGTTATTGCAGGATTTGGCAGCCTCCTGTTTTTTGTATTGGCAGTATTTGCATGTGGCTTTACACTGCTAGCTTCCACATCAGCCAAAAGACCTAAATCTACCGTTGGCCCAGTTAACAGAGGCGGAGGCCCAGTTGAAGGTAGTATGGACACAGGTAGCAAAGGTGGAGACCCAGCTGGCTGAGGGGGAGGCCCAGCTATTGGAGGTGAAGGTCCAGGTAGCAGTGGTGAGGACCCAGGTAGCAATGGTGAAGGCCCAGGTAGCAGTGGTGGAGGCCCAGGTAGCAGTGGTGGAGGCCAAGGTCTAAGTGGTCTTCCTCCAAAAGTGTCTTTGTGTTAGATCCTTTGAAGCTCTGATAGGTGTGATAAAGGAATTCCTAAGGGAGCTCTGCTTCCTCACTCCTCCAAGTCTGCAGAGCTGATTTACATGGCCCTGTGACCTGCAGGCTAGTTCTGTCTTTTTTATGAAATGTGACTTGGGTGCTGGAAAGTTCAAATGAAGTTTTTTGAATCCTTTTGGGCATCTGTGTCTGTCCATATCCTACAAAACGTAAAAACAGATAGGAAAATTTTCATAGAATCACTAGGCAAATGGTGTGTGAATGCGGAAAAATATGTGATAATAGGTGATTTTAATGTGTGCTTGTCAAAACTGGACAAGGCAAAAGAAAACACCTATAAAGAAGACAGTAGTAGAACAAAATTATTTGAATTAATGAACCAAAACAACCTAATAGACATATGGAGGAACTTAAACCCTCTGAAAAAAATATATTCAAGAAAACAAGTTGTTCAAGGGGAGTTAAAACAATCACGGATTGATATCTGCCTCACCTCAGAGAAAATAGTGCCTATGGTCCAAAAGGTCTACTACAAGGAAAATGCCTGGTCAGATCACTCCTCTATGGAGTTAGAGCTGGATCTACCAGGGACAGCGAGAAATGGTGGCTCCTGGTGCCTAAATAACAGCTTGCTAGAAGATGAGGTCTTTATTTTAAAAAAACAAGGAGATTCTTACAAATGATAACTGAGAAAATGATCTTCACAGAAAATATATTAACATGGTGGGAGGGAGTAAAAGAGAGAATTAAGAAAAGGTGCATAAACTATAGTAAACAGAAAAGGTGGGAGGAAAACAAGTGTGAATATGAGATAAGGGAAAAAATAAAAAACGAATTAGAAAAAATAAGTGTAAATCCAACATTAGACCTAACAGAATATCTCTGCTTAAAAAAAGAATTGGAAACGATTGAGATTGCAAAATGCAAGGGAGCAATAATAAGGAGCAAAGCAAAGCATGTAACTGAGGGAGAAAAATGTACAGCCTATTTCTTAGGTTTGGAAAAAAGAAGACAGGAAAAATGCTTCATAAAAGAATTAATAAATGAAAAAGGGAGCAGAACAGATAAAACGGAGGACATTTTGGAAAGCGTAGAACTTTTCTACAAGGAACTGTTCTCCAGTGAGGGAGTGGAGGAGGGGGCTCTCGAAGCAGCACTCGGGGTCCTGGATGCTCGACTACCTCCCGAGGACGCTGAGTGGTGCGACTCCCCCCTGGCTTTAGGGGAGGTGGAGGAGGCCATTGGTGGTCTCGGGAAGAACAAGAGAAGAACATCACGGCCAATTCGATATATGTTTTAGAGACCTGTTGGCCCTGATCTTCCTCGCCCTCTACCGCAGTATGGAGGAGCAGAGGTGCACCCCCACGACCTTGAAGCTCGGTTTGGTAAGTCTGGTGTACAAGCAGAGGGGGGACAGAGCCTGCCTTAAGAATTACAGACCAATTAGCTTACTCAATACAGATTACAAGATACTGGCAAAAATACTGGCAAACAGACTGAAACATGTCATTCACAATACGGTAGGGGACACGCAGGCATACAGTGTACCGGGCAGGGACATTTCAGACACCATACTGACAGTTAAACATGGCATACAACAACTACAGGTAGAGGGAGGGATTTACATAGCGGTAGACTTCAACAAAGCATTTGACAGAGTAGAACTTGTATTTTATGGAGGTTAATGCATAAACTGGGGTTTAGGAACAGGTACATAGGATGGCTGCAATTACTTTATAACAACAGTCAAATAAAATGCAATGGTTTTCTCACAACTCCAATCCATCTCCAGCGCTTGATCAGGCAGGGCTGTCCTCTCTCTGCGCTTTTGTACAGTTTGGCAGCCGAGCCACTGGCGCAACTGATCAAAACAGACAGACACATTACAGGCATTCAAACACTGGCATACAGACAAATTAAAATAATACAGTTTGCAGACAACACAAACATACTTTTAAGGGACAAAAAACAGGTGGACAGTGTAGTCACGCACCTGGACACTTATTGCAGGGCGTCAGGGGCGCGGGTGAATACAGACAAAACACAGATCATGTTTTGTGGTCCGGGGGCTCAGCCGCCAAACGTCTGGGGGTTCAAGGAGGTCCAGGAGAGCGTCAAGGTCCTGGGGGTGTACATCGGCAAGGATGCTGCGGCAGCGAGGGACAAGTCCTGGGAGGGGCTCCTGGCCAAGTTGCCGAGTCAGTTTGGGTTGTGGAAGATGAGGGGGCTGACTCTGAGAGGCAAGGCGGTCGTGACCAACTCCCTCATCCTGTCAACACTAATGCACGGTACTCGCAAAAATCAACAATCTCATCACAATGTTTATTTGGAAAGGCAAAGGGAATTTGGTAGCACATAAAACCATCATCAATGACTACAAAAAAGGAAGATTAAACCTAATGGATATGCACACAAACAAGATGGCACTCAGGAATAAAATCGTTATAAAATACTTGGACACAAAAAACAGTGCATACTGGAAAGACTATTTTGCACATCAGATAAACCAAATCAGTCATTTGGCAAGCTATCAGTTATGTCAAGTCAGACCGATTTCACATTACGCTCATCTGGAAAGTTTCTATGGGGAGGTCATGGAAGCGTGGGGGGTGGCACGACCACTTGTCCGGGCCCAAATCTCCAACAGAGGCCAGGTGCTGGCGCAACCGGTTTTCAGCAACCCGGACGTGACTTGCCAGGAGAAACCCCTCCTGGGAGGGGATCTGGTGCAGGACAGCGTGCCGACATTCATCTTAGAGCGCAACAACACAACCTGCAATATTACAGAAACCACAACAAAACACTGGTACAAAACATTTAGGAATTCAATCATACAGTGTCCAACAGCAGAGTTGGCGTGGGCTAAGTTTTTTCCCAACAAACCCATCCATACGATTTGGCAAAATATCTATCACAAATACTGTAACACTCAAGCTGCACAAACGGATTTTCAAATAAGACAGAGGAAAATTTTCATGAGCTTCGTCCTGCATCAGATCCACAAAACGAAGTTCAAAAGGGACTGTGCAGTGTGCGGGGAGGCGCCGGAGGATCTGGAGCACTTGCTTTGGGACTGTCCGACCGTCTCCCGGTTCACAGACCAGGTCCGGGACCTCCTTGGAGGCTTTGTCTCCTGGGAGGCCGTAGATGAGTTGGATTGGAGGTGGCATTGGTTCTTTGGGGAAATGAGGCGAGAGGAAAAATACAAAAGTGACTTAGTGAATATTGTGCTGTCAATGGCACGGCACACCATTGTGCTGGCCAGGAATTTGGCCTTATATGAAGGCAAAAGTGTGAATCGATGGATATTATTTAAAAATTTGTTGAAAGCACACATACGAACTTTGACGAAGCAAAAAGACTTTGAAGATGTTTTTGTAAGAAATGCTGGGCTGCTAAGAAAAGATGGAACAAATGAAATCATGTTTACATTTTAAAGAACTTGTACTGGAATATCTTGTGCATACTGAATGGTTTTTGTAAGTCTAACTTAGGAATATTTAAGGGTTGGATAAGAAAAATTGGGATTTTTTTCTTCTTGGGGTTTTTGTGGGGGGTGGTGGGGATTTTTGTTTCTTTTTGTTGACCTTGAATTTTATTTGCTGTATTTCTTGTCTCTGTTTGGGGTGTAGTGGTGGGTTTTTTTTCTCTTTAGATGTACAAATGAATGTTTGCAAATGTGTAAATAGTGAAAATGTGTGTTTTTTAAAAAATTTAAAACATGTATTTTTTGATAATAAAAGAAAAAAAAAAATTTAAAGCCGCAAGCGGCGATGGACGGGTCCTTGCCCGACGCTTGTCGGCCTTCGCGCACGGCGGGGTGTGGCGCAAATGTGCTCTGGGCGGGACTCGGATCCAGCCTGTCGAGTTTTGACCAGATCGGAGCACGTCAGGCGCATTTACGAGCCACTTCCTGTTAAGTGGAGAGCCACGGCGGCGTGCGTGTTGGCCATGGTGGAAACGTGCTCTGGCTCAGACTCGGAGCACGTGCGTAAAGTTTCAGGAAGATCGGAGCACATACAGGCCAGTTACACAGCACGTCTCGTATTCTGGTGTTTTAAGGCGTTGTGGCCAAAAATGTCCAGAAGTCACCCACAATCGCCAAAATTGTCACTGTGTTTTTTTCAAAATGGCGGACTTCCTGTTGGGTTTAGGACTTGGTGCTGATTGACTTTTTGTGCGTCCTGACCTGTTACACATGCCGACCGAATCTTGTCAGTGTAGGTGAAACAACCTTCCGACAATATTCAGTTGAATGCAAAAAAAACCTCGAAAATGGACAAAATGGCCATTGATCAAAATTGGATGGGCCACCATTTCCAAACCGGGCCTCATCTGCGGAGCGTTTGAAGAACTTTTAATCACCACCTCCTGTAGTTTGTGCTCACCAAATTTCAGGTGTGTACGACGTATCCCCTAGAAGGAACTCGATTTTGAAAATGGCCAAAAATGGCCATTTTTGAGCGAAAATGGCCCGGCATGCTCGCTGTTTTTCCAACATGGCGGGTTTCCTGTTGGGTTTACAGAAACATGCCAATGGAATTTTTTGTGCGTCATGAGTTGTTACATGTGTGTGGCGAATTTCGTAGTTCTAGTGAAACGTAGCGCCGATGGGAATCTGTAAAAATATTGTAGGGGGCGCAGTTGAGCCATGTTGCATTTTAGACCTTAGTCCAAGAGACTTTTTTGTTCGTGCCGACCAGCTCTATATGCCTATGAAATTGGTTAGCTCTAGGGCAAACATGCTTCCGACAGGACTCCATTGAAATTTTCAAGGTGGCGCTGTGGCGCAATTTCTGTAGTGAGGTGTGTATTTTTCTTCCAAATTATAAAATTTTTCGCCGGGTCTGATGTGTGTGGTGATTTTGGTGAGTTTTCGAGTATGTTAAGGGCCTCAAAAATGCGTCTCTTTGTCATGAATAATAATAATAAGAATCCGAGCAGTTCCAACAGGGTCTTCGCACCCTTTTGGGTGCTCGGACCCTAACAAAAAAAGCTCTGGACATCGACACTTTCTTTCATTCTCGGTTCCTATGAAACAACAGCGACCTCCGCTGGTATGGGCATTTTATGAGATTTTTCACAAATCTGGCAACTAAGTCGTTGCCAAACAACTTCTTCACCAATATGTTTGTAAAGGTGTGTAATATCATGCCTTAAAATGTTGAAGTTCAACTGCCCGTGGGAAACCCTGAAAATCACCTGCTCAAGTTAGGGTACCGATAAATGATTGACGAAAAATCGATTTTACAATTTCTGTGTGATTAATTTTTATTTTTAATTTTTTTTTTTTTAAACAATACTAGCAGACCTGGTGAAACTGAAAGATGAACTTAAAACACTGTTTGAATCAGTGCAGTGTTTGTAAAAATGACATTTCTTCTAAACTGTTATCTTCACCCGCTGACTGTGAAAAAACATGAAATCAGCTGTTGGTAAATGTCTGAACTAATCATTAACAAATGAAATATGTGACTTTTTCTTCTTTTTATGTCCATTATGTAGGATTTCTCATCTTTTTGTC